TTTTTTTTGTAGAGACAAAAATCTCACTGTCACCTCAGTAGAGTGCCGTGGCATCACACAGCTCACAGCAACCTCCAACTCCTGGGCTTAGGTGATGATTCTCTTGCCTCAGCCTCCTGAGTAGCTGGGACTACAGGCACCAGCCACCAATGCCTGGCTATTTCTTTTTTGCAGTTTGGCCGGGGCCGGGTTTGAACCCCAACCTCAGTATATAGGGCCGGTGCCCTACCCACTGAGCCACAGGCACGGCCCTAGTTTTTGTATTTTTAGTAGAGATGGGTCTCACTCTTAGGGAGGCTAGTCGCGAACTCATGAGCTCAAGCAATCCACCTGCCTCAGTCTCTCAGAATGCTAGTATTACAGACATGAGCCACCATACCCGTTCTCAACTGTATCTTACAAAACACTGAAATATCCTTCATATCTTTTTTTTTTCTTCTTGAGACTGTTTCACTCAGTCCACCTGGGTAGAGTGCCGTAGCATCATAGCTCACAGCAACCTCAAACTCCCAGGCTTGAGCAATCTTCTTGCCTCAGCCTCTCCTGTAGCTGGAGGTACAGGTGCCTGCCACAATACCCAGCTAGTTTTTCTACTTTTAGTAAAGATGGGGTCTCACTCTTACTCAGGCTGGTCTTGAACTTCTGAGCTCAAATAATCTACCTGCCTTGGCTTCCTAGACTGCTAGGTTTATAAGCATAAGCCACCAAGCCCAGACTGAAGGATTTTTATAAATGAGAAATCCAAGCTTCAGAAATTGAGCAACTTGCCCCAGGTCACACTAAATGTAGGTTCAGGATTTGAACCTATGATATTTGGAATCTGGGACATTTTGACTCCTGAGTCCCTTTTCTTTTTGTTAGAATATCCTTCTTACTCAACCAACTATGTTGGTTTATAATTCTTTAAGGCATCTCAAATCCCAAGTAACATATAGGGAAAGATGCTGTAAAATTATTCTATCAGTTTGTTTGTTTGTTTTGAGACAGAGTCTCATTTTGTCACCCCGATAAGAATGTCATGGCAGGCTCGGCACCTGGGGCTCAAGTGGCTAAGGCGCCAGCCACATACACCTAAGGTGGCAGGTTCAAATCCAGCCCGGGCCCGCCAAACAATGATGGCTGCAACCAAAAAATAGCCGGGTATTGTGGCAGACGCCTGTGGTCCCAGCTACTTGAGAGGTTGAGGCAGGAGACTCACTTGAGCCCAGGAGTTGGAGGTTGCTGTGAGCTGAGATGCCACAGCACGCTACCCAGGGGGACAGCTTGAGGCTCCTGTCTCAAAAAAAAAAGAATGCTATGGCATTAGAGCTCACAGAAACCTCAGACTCTTGGGCTCAAGCAATTCTCTTGCCTCAGCCTCCCAAGTAGGTGGAACTACAGGCCCCCGCCACAACATCCGGCTATTTTTAGAGATAGGGGTTTAGCTATAGCTCAGGCTGGTCTGAAACTCGTGAGCTCAGGCAATCTACCTTGGCCTCCCAGAGTGCTGGGATTACAGGCTTGAGCCACCTCGCCCTTCCCTGTTCTATCCTTGATTATTGCTATTTGGCAGTGTGTTTTCCACACCTTTCAAGAAAACCTACTGGCAAATTCCGCTCACACACTACTCTCTCATTTCTAAATATCTCCACTTATGCCATTAGCTTCCTAGAGAACAAGAGAACATGGAAATGAGCATCTCAGAGTACTGAAATTCAATCCAATGCAAAATCTGCTTTCTCCAGGGAGTTAGCTCATAAAGTCCACCTAAGAAACCCCCACAGAAAATATTCTCTTCCTTAACATCTCTAGTCAAGACAACAAACCCAGGGAGGAGCCTGTGGCTCAGTGAGTAAGGCGCCGGCCCCATATACCAAGGGTGGCGGGTTCAAACCCAGCCCCGGCCAAACTGCAACAAAAAATAGCCGGGCGTTGTGGCGGGCGCCTGTAGTCCCAGCTACTTGGGAGGCTGAGGCAGAAGAATCGCCTAAGCCCAGGAGTTGCAGGTTGCTGGAGCGACTCCGCTGCACTCTACCGAGGGCGAAAAAGTGAGACTCTGTCTCTACAAAAAAAAAAAAAAAAAGACAACAAACCCAAACCTGGAAATTATAACTTCCGGTGAAAATCAAAGCTGCCAACATCTCCTCCTTTAATCAGGGTGCTCAAAAATAGTAACAATGTTATTTGTCTTAGTTATTCTGATAGCCCATCAAAACTAAATATAATGTCCTATTACAGAAACATACGCTTATAGTTGGTTTGTCTTGTTATTATAAATAATTACTTTGCATTTATTTATTTCATCTTCCTCACATGTTATCAGTATCTCTAAAGGTAGGTCCTGGGTGGTACCCATAGTTCAGTGGGTAGGGCGCCAGCCACATACACCAAGGCTGGTGGGTTCAAACTTGGCCAGGGCCAGCTAAACAACAATGACAACTGCAACAAAAAAATAGCCAGGCGTTGTGGCAGGCACCTGTAGTCCCAGCTATTTGGGAGGCTGAAGCAAGAGAATCACTTAAAACCAAGAGTTCGAGGTTACTGTGAGCTATGATGCTACAGCACTCTATTGAGAGCAACACAGTAAGACACTGTCTCAAAAAAAAAAAAAAAGAAAAAGAAAAGAACACTCAAAGCCATTAACTGGCCCTGAAAATATTCAGTTCAAGTATTTACCAAGGTTTTATCTACATTTCTCAGCAGACTGAAATCTAATTCAGAGAGATGGACAGTGTATAAATAATGAGCAAATTCACATAAAAGTTTCAATCAGTGGGCCAGTGAGGTGGCTCACACCTATAATCCTAGCACAATGGGAGGTCAAGGCAGGTGTATTGCCTGAATTCACAGGTTTGAGACCTGCCTGAGACAGAGTGAGACCTCATCTCTAAAAAAAAATACCTGGGCATTGTGGTAGGTGCCGGTAGTCCTAATTACTTGGGAGGCTGAGGCAAGAGAATTGCTTGAGCACAGGAGTTTGAGGTTGCTGTGACCAATGATGCCACAGCACTATACCGAGGGCGACAAAGTGAGACTCTGTCTCAAAAAAAGAAAAAAAAGTGGGGCAGCACCTGTGGTTCAGTGAGTAGGACACCAGCCCCATATAGGGTTCAAACATGGCCTCAGCCAAACTGCAAAAAAAAACCAGCCAGGCGTTGTGGCGGGCACCTGTAGTCCCAGCTACTCAGGAGGCTGAGGCAAGAGAATCACCTAAGCCCAGGAGTTAGGAGGTTGCTGTGAACTATGATACCACTGCACTCTACCAAGGGCGACAAAGTGAAACTCTATCTCTAAAAATAAATAAATAAATAAAGGTAGGTCCTATATCTTTTATTTTTTGTAGGTTATTTCTTGTGTACATGGTATACTTAATTCTCTTCACATAAGAAAAGTACTCAAGGCTTGGTGCCTATAGCTCAAGCGGCTAAGGCACCAGCCACATACATCAGAGCTGCCGGATTCAAATCCAACCCAAACCTGCCAAACAACAATGACATCTACAGCCAAAAAATAGCCCGGCGTTGTGGAGGGCATCTGTAGTCCCAGCTACTTGAGAGGCTGAGGCAAGAGAATCACTTAAGCCCAGGAGTTGGAGGTTGCTTATGAGTTGTGATGCCATGGCATTCTACCCAAGGCGACAGCTTGAGGATCTATCTGGGGGAAAAAAAAAAAAAAGAAAGAAGGAAAAGAAAAGCACTCAAGGCTCGGTGCCCGTAGCTCAGGGGTTACAGCACCAGCCACATACACCAGAGCTTGCCAGGTTCAAGTCTGGCCCAGCCTGCTGAACAATGACAACTACAAAAAAAAATAGCCAGGCGTTGTAGCAGGTGCCTGTAATCCCAGCTACTTGGGAGGCTGAAGTAAGAGAATTGCTTAAGCCCAAGAGTTTGAGGTTCCTGTGAGCTGTGACGCCATGGCACTCCACCAAGGGTGACACAGTGAGACTCTGTCTCAAAAAAAAGTTTCAGGCCAGGCATGGTGACTCACGCCTGTTGTCCCAGCACTGTGGGAGGCCGAGGCGGGTGGATCACCTGTGCTCAGAAGTTCAAGACCAGCTGAAGACTTGCCTCAGGCAGAGTGAGCCAGAGTGAGACCCCATCTCTACTACTACAACAACAACAAGACAGCTGGACCTTGTGATCCCAGCTACATGGGGGGCAAGAGAACACTACAGGAGGAAGAAGTAATAAAAAAAAAAGTTTCAATCAGTGAAGAAGAGTGCAGGGCAGTACAAAGAACTATATGATCAATGGCTCTAGGTTCCAGATCACTAAACAAACTACTGAAGATCAGAAAATGGATTTTATCATGTTTGCAACATAATACTTCTTTCAGTTTATCACACATAACAGGTGCTTAATCTCTGTCTAATGAACTGAGTTCTTAAATTAGTCAGGGTCTGTCAAAAGCTAATTATGAAACTTTTGATTAAGTTCCACATTTTACAAAAGTCAAAGTTTTCCTTATTTATTACTACAGTTCAAAGTAAATAATTGCTAAGACCCCTTCCAGTTGACATTTTGATTCTACAATGTAGCACCTTATACCAGGGAGCAAAGTGTTACACTGAAGCAAGCATTTAAGTACATTGTGTCAGCAGAGAGCAGCAAAATACATGTACTCATGTATACATATAATATATACACTGTATACTTAATTCTTCTCAAACTATCAATTCCTTACTGCAGAGGACTGAGTTAGTGTCATAGTTTCTAACTCTGAAGAATATCTAAAACAATGCCATGGGAACTTATATACCAGCTGACAAGGAAGAAAGCATTCTCTTCCCTATTTGTCATTAACCAAGAATTTGGAGGATTAACAACTTGAGTATGGAAAGACTACCCTAGAACAACAACAAAAAGAATAGCAGCTAGGTGAAACTGAGCTGACAAACGGAAAGAAGAAGAGCAAAGGCATAGCGAGCAGGAACAACGGCAGAAGGCATGGACACAAACCAGAGCCCAAACCTAACTATACAGCAAGAAAATGCACTGGAATACTTTGTCCATGAAACAAAGAAATTACCTGAGTGGCAAAGGGCCTGCAAGCTCCCCATTGTCTGCTGGTATCTTCGGCTTTCATCTTCTGCTACCTCATTGATGTCTGAGTAGTCCACAGCATCTTCAGTACTCCTGACCCATCCTATAAATTAAGAAGGGAAAAGGAGAACCTCAACAAAGAGCAATTATCCCTTAGATAATTTCCATTTAAAAGTACATGTACAAGAAAAAAAATAAAAGTACATGTACGTAAGCGTAGCCTCCTCCCCCACCTTACTGCCCACAACCCAGACTTCACCTTCATCATTTACCAAGGCACCGTCAGTCCCAGTCAATTCTTCATTTGCCGTGAGTTCAGTGATCAGGCTGCCCAGACCCAAAGCCCCCAAGCCTGCCAAGTGCTTCTTACACTCCTGAAAAAGGGACAGCACCAGAGTCGAAAATGAAAACTAGACCTAACCTTCCCACACCACAAGGCTTATCTTCCTGGTCCACAACAAAGACATAAATCCATATGAAAAATGACTCTGCAGTGTGCTAAATGGGGCATAACATTCAAGAACCATATATATTCCACTCAACTCCACGCTGATCAGATCTTTATTCAAATACACCATGTCTAATTTCACATCCACACTGTAATGTAAGAACAGATTATTCAACGAACTACCTAGGCTCAATGAATGGAACAGTACTTCTCTGAATAAAGGCCAAAGGCAACCCAGGTCATGCAGACCAGCAAGGTGGGGCAGCGCTAGGAACTGGCTACCTACCAGCCTACCCACCTATCTACCTATCTGGCATGTGTTGCTGGGGAAATGGCACCTTTGTCAACAGCTTTACACCTAAATGAAAATAAGTGACTTTCAGTTGGGCACAAGAATCAATTTCGTGAACGTCAGGGAACACATTGGGACAGAAGTCATCTGCGCCGCGCCGGGAGAGCGCACCCTGTCCTAGCGCTGGGGTCCCAACTAAACCGCTTGTGGCAGGTTGTGCCCAGCGCTCCGGAACCGCAACCCTCCATGGTCAGCGACATCAAAAATGCACAGTGTCATCACTCTCCAAGAAGGTTGCCAGGGTAATGATCTGGAAGCAATTTCACTTCGGTGCACGATTATTTGTCCTACTGTCTGGTCCAGTAGAACGTTATCCCTAAAGCCATCCACTTCCACGCCCCCACCTCCGGGGCTCGTCTAGCTTTTCTTCCCTTCCACGCCCAGAATTGAACCCTCCCACTCTGTGAACACGCGATCCTCCGCTCTTACACGGACTGCGCGCGCGCTCTAAGAGACGGCCACATCGCCCTCTACCCTCTCTAGCTAAGCACCGTCTGCTTTCCTCACCACTCTCCTTAGCCGCACCACCCCCGAGCCCCAGCCCCAGCCCCATGCCCACCCCCTCACATCATCCAAGACGCTTTCCCCCTCCAACTGCCCGGCTCCATTGATGTTGCCGAAAAGAAAACCGGTTAAAGAAAATGGCCCGCCTCCAGCAGAATCTTCATCGCTGTCTGTATCTGACATGATGGCGACTACAGCGCCAGCAGCTGCGGAAGGCAGCAACAAATCCCAGTCTGGTCCCATAGACCGGAAATTAGAACAACTGTCGCACAGAAGTGACTTTCTCACTTCCTTGACCCCACCCGCCTCTACCGGAAGCGGAATAAAGGAGGCGGGAAATAGCCGGAAAGACCGGCCACCCTACAAGAGAAAAAGTATTACTACTTTACTAACGGCTTTTGATTCGACAACACGCGATCACGAGGCTGGATACGTGGAAAGCGGTTGGTCAAAGCAAACGTTCAGTACCGCCCTCTTCCACTTATTTGCATACGGACATTCTCACTGCACCACGCGGGAGCAAAGGGGCTTCTTCCAATCCGAAGGAGCAGCTGGAGCCACGTGGTTTAAATTCTGGCAACCGCCGATCGCCGCGTGTCAGTGCTCCGGGAGAACTGGTTCTTCTACCTGCTGGTTACAGCTTCACTGCTCTGTCCCTAAGAGAAATTTGAATTCTGTGGATAGTCCCCAACTGTTTCAAAGGTACCTTTTCAAGTTACTTGTTAGAATTGACGTTTCTCCATAGGAATGGATTTCCCCAAGAAAAGTTTTATTTCAGGAAGTGTGTAAAATTAACAGCCGATCCTTCACCTACATTCGCAAATAACATCTTGCCAGTTTTCTTTTCCTATACCATTTGAAAGTGGGTTACAGGCTCGGCGCCTATAGCTCAACCGGCTAAGGCGCCAGCCAC